TAGCTAATTGGCTCGTCTAGTATAACTTTGTACTGCTGCTGCTGCTGCTGCTGCTGACCGACCCTCTAACTACTGTTTTGATGTTAGTGCTGTGGTAGCCGCTGCTGCTGCTCCCACTGGTGCATGAGGTGGCTGTGACGTCAGCGGCGTTGCTGTGCTACTCCTACACATGTACAGTTCTGGCCAGAGAAATCCAGCCTCATGAATAAAGTAGCGTCGCCATCGAGTGCACAGACCAGTATGTGTAGTGCTAGGGCTGTGTAGCTCCCGGCAATGCTATTTTATTCATGAGGTTGGTTTTCTGTGGCCAGCACTGTAGTTGTGTTATAGTTACTATGGATACCAGGGTTCGCAGCGAAGTTTGGAAGTCTGGAAAAAGTTTGGATTTTATAATTCAATTTTCCAGGTCTGGAAAAAGTTTTGAAAAGGCGCTCCTTTTGAAAAAGTTTGGAAAAAGTTTTAAATTTCGATTTTTTGGCCGCAGATGTGCTGCACTACTGCATGCAAGTGGCCGTTTTGAGTGCCGCGATAGAAGACGCGCTGGCGATGCGTGGTGTTCACTGCATGTACGAGTCTCGTACAGTCATTTCAGTGCAGCTCAAGCGCGGCCAGTGATGACTTTTATTTGGCCGTTTTTTGTTACTGGCGCTCGCGCTCGATTTTGATTCTTTGAAGTCGGGACAGCAGGATGGCGAGGTCCTTTCGCACTCAGATGAGTTTGCTGGCGAGGATGAAGCCGTCTTTTGCGCTGAGATGGACACCAGCTATGTAAATGTTTCATTGGAACCCCCTCTGGAGGTGGATTGAACTTACGGAGGGGAACTCTCGTCGTATGAATTCCCCTGCTATTTTCAGGGGCTCTAGTTGCTGAAGGCGATATCATCGCAATGCACCTTGGTGAATTTGTTGATGGTAGTAGTACCAGGGAGGATTTTTACTACTCCCTGGTTGTACTTGTAGTGGAGAAGACAGTCGTGCAGAAGAGATTTATAATTTATTTTTCCTGCACGAGTAGATTTGGAAATTCTTGAAATTGGTTTGGAAAAAGTTTGGAAAAAGTTTGGAATTTTGTGTGCTTGGTTGGCTGCGAACCCTGGGATACAAAGGGGAAGAGTGTGTTGCTCCCTACATGGGGGGGGGGGGGGGGGAGCTCCCGGTTTTCCTGCCGACTTGAATTCTCACTTGACTGACTCACGACTGCCATCCAGAGCACACGAGAAGTCCATCGAACCGTCCACTCGGCAAGCGTGGAAGAAAGCACCACTCCCTGCTCAACACACAGTGTTTCGGGGAATTCACCCCTCATCAGTTGAGCTTGAGTAGGCTGAGGAAGATTGTGCCTGAAGAGCACCACTTTTATAGTGCTCTCCAGGCACAAACATCACCAGGGATACAAACTCAGCCTACTCAAGCTCAACTGATGAGGGGTGAATTCCCCGAAACACTGTGTATTGAGCAGGGAGTGGTGCTTTCTTGCAGGTTTGCCGAGTGGACGGTTCGATGGACTTCTCGTGTGCTCTGGATGGCGGTCGTGAGTCAGTCAAGTGAGAATTCAAGTCGGCAGGAAAACCGCAAGCTCCCATGTAGGGAGCAACACACTCTTCCCTTACTATCGCCTAAATCGCACCAACCTCTTCTTCACATTGTGGATACAAAGTCTCTATAAAGTCTTTTTTCGTTTCCTTGTAATACCACTGCTCTGCTTTCAGTTCAATGGTAAGCTGATCAACCTTCAGCAGCCACTTACCTCTAGTGGAGATCTGGAGTACATTATGCCAGACGCACCGGACGGTAAGCAGTGCTGTGAGCTGATTTCCTGTAGACATGTTATACCTGCTTAAAAGACGTGCCGGAGTTGGCCGCTTGACCCGGAGTGGTTTGCGCCCGCACCTTCTCCTGCTGTTGGTGCGCGTGTGTGTCTGTACATGTGTATGTGTGTGTGTGTGTGTGTGTGTGTGTGTGTGTGTGTGTGTGTGTGTGTGTGTGTGTGTGTGTGTGTGCATGTGTGTACGTGTGTGTACGTGTGTGTGTGGCTGTGTCTGTGTGTGGCTGTTGTGTGTGCTTCTGGTTTCAGCCTCTTAGGGGGCATTTCTGCAAACTATGTTCAACTGCTTTTCCTCGCAAATTGTTGGTGGGCTGATCTCCTCGCCTCCCGCCGCGTTAGGAGCTGCATCTGTGCGTTTGATCTTTGCAGGGTGGTGGCGTTCCTATGGATGCTGAAACTCAGTCTCGAGCGAACCGTGAATTTTTGTTCTCCCTCTCAGAATGTGACGTGCTGTCGGCGGTGCTTGTGTTCTTTGTCATTGTTCAGCTGCACGTGCACTTGGCGGTCTTGGGTGTGTGCTGCTCAACCAGGCGCTGGAGAGGAGCTGGCCAGACGCTAAGCTCCTGTCGTCCGGCGTCAACCACCTGGGACAGTTCTACTGCGACATCTCCCGTCATCCAGCACTGTAAGTAATCCATTGCTGTGAGTAATCCAGCACAGGTAGACTCCCTCTAATTCGAATACGGTATAATTCGAACATTCCGTGTAATTCAAACTTTTCCTCGTACCGATCTTCTGCAAGTCACTTCAAGTCAAAATCGAATGCATAATTCGAAGTACGAAAAGTGCGCCGGTTGGATAATTTGAACCCAGTCTTCGTACAGAAGAGCTGTTTACAGTACATTGGCTATGTCCTTGGAACGCTTATTTCGAAGTGAGATTGAGTTGCTATCCTTGTAATTCGAAGTTCATTCTTTTCTCCTTCTCTAGCCAAGAGTAGCTCAAAAATCGATCAATGGTCCGCTGCAGGATCGACTACAGTGTATAGCGTTCAAGAAACCCACCTTCTCTCGAAATTTGATTCAAGCCCGTGCGAGGCAAATTGCAAAGGTTTGATTGAAGACGACTTCTTCCAGGTGGCTGACTCTCTTCGCGGATCTCGGTGGCCTTTCTTACCGCGCCAGCTCGTGCGCGGAGATGTTGGCACACAACAACACTATTGTCGTAAATATTGTCTATGCCTTTGCTCCACTTCCGTTCTTCAGAACGACGTGCTGCTGTCCAATGGCCTTTCATGACGCGGATTAGGCAGCGCAGTTCTTTTCCGCTGAAATTGTCTCAGGAAAGCTGTAGTGACTGACAACTTCTTCACTAGAAGAATGAAGATGTCAAAATGATTTTGTGTCGATCCAGTGTTTTGATGATCCTATGTTTCGTTGATGCAAATAAAAATGTGCAAAAAAATATTCAGCATGCGATTTCAAGCATTTTGACATACATATCAGTGCATGGGGCTGCATTTGGATAATTAGAAGTTCTGGATAATTCGAAGTTAGGGCCTGGCAATTTGAGGTTCGAATTAAAGGAAGTCTACCTGTACTGTAAGTGGTCTAGCACTGTAAGTGATCCAGCACCGTAAGTGACCCAGCACCGTAAGTGATCTAGCACTGTAAGTGATCCAGCACTGTAAGTGATCCAGCGCTGTAAGTGATCCAGTACTGTAAGTGGTCTAGCACCGTGAGTGATCCAGTGCTGTAAGTGATCCAGCACTGTAAATGGTCCAGCACTGTAAGTGGTCCAGCACTGTAAGTGATCCAGCACTGTAAGTGGTCCAGTGCTGTAAGTGATCCAGTACTGTAAGTGGTCTAGCACTGTGAGTGATCCAGTACTGTAAGTGGTCTAGCACCGTCAGATGTGTGCAGATCAACAGTAGTAGACTAGTACTCCATGTTAGAGCTGGTCCAGGTGACGACAGAGATGTCGAATGTACTACACTTGGCCGTGTGGAATGTATGAAATAGGTATCGGCAAGTTTTCGTAACTTATAGCCTTTTTTTTAGTTATAGGTCCTTTTCTCTTTACATATTACTATTGACTCAGCATCCAATTTTTATTTCTGTTCTTGTTTTTGTTTGTTTTCTTCTTGTGTGTTGTCCTCCTGTAGGATTGGACTGCCTGACTCGGAAACCCTGGCCATACTGGAGAACTACATGCTCGAGTAAGTCACGTACACAACGGCATGCACGCACGCTCTGATGAAACGTGAAAAGGGTTAGGTTAGTTCTTAGCGGCACTGCCAATAGTGCACCAACTAAACTCCCAACAATTCACCATAGATTTGTAGAAAAGAAAAAGGATGAAGGAACTACACGTTACGCTATAATGTCCACTAACACCACCAGTTACTAAACAATCAGCTCATGCGATAACATTGCACGACACTGACCGACGGCACTGACGTTCTACAACTAACCGGCTATCAGCTCTAGCACACATCTTGTACTGTCAAGGTACTCTATAGACTACATCCAAGGTCAAATTAGGCAAGTTTCGCTGTACAGTAGAACGCCGATTATCCGCACGACCTGACATAACATTCCTTGGTCCAGGTTGCACTGGTCCTCTACGACAGGTGGTCGCTTTGACAGGTTTTACTGTATTTTGCAGTATGTTTAAACCGAACGCGGATTCTTCGACCGTATATTCTATCGAATAATTTCGCCCTTCATCCAACGAATTATCTATATTCTATCATATGCATGATGGAATTTTTCAACACTTTTCAGCACTTTTTTAAATAGACTGGAAGTGTTGTATTTATATTATATATATTTAAAGTTGTGAACGGCAACCATTCGGCTGTTCAATAATGCAACAATCTCTCCTCCTCTTCTCCTCCATTCGCTCTCACTGCCGACACATGGCTAACCTCAGTGGCCATTGCACACACCAAAAATCGAATACTGTAGTTTCATAAATTTTCGTTGTACTTCTATTTTCGGTGATTCAGTTTCATGCCTGATATTCCAATACACCGAACAAACACTAACACACATAATCCAATAGGGAACTGCTTCTCTGTACCTAAATTTTTTTGTTCACCTAACCTGGCCTTTTGCCCTCATACCGAAAATATTGAGAACCTAACATTTCTGAAATTAGAGTAATCGCACATGGCTACCCATGGGTAGCCATGTGTAGCCATGTGTAGCCATGTGAGAGCACGTAGAGGAGATGAGCAGGAGAGATTGTTGAAGTATTTTTATTTTGCAAAGTTTTGCTAATTTATATAATATCGTGTTTTGTATTGTTGAGGTGCACAACCAGTGTGAACCACACATGCAGTATACAGTCAGACCTCGCTTAACCGCACACATCCGTTTTCCACGAAAAAATATCCGGATAGGCGAGGGAGCCGGATAATCGAACACACATGCTGTATGTATGACTGACATAAGCCGTAAATCGGTAACCAACGATTCTTTTCCGGATGGCGAGGGATCCGTATAAAAGAGGACCGGATAAGCGAGGTCTGACTGTATACCGGTACGTGTACTGGCAACTACAAGGTGCACACAGCAAGAGCACACCGTATGGAAGGGAGAGAACCGTAACACGAGAGAGGAGATCAAGACTCAGAGGAGAGGAGATCAAAACTCACAGGAGAAGAGATTGAGAAGAAAAACTACGAGCAGATCTACACAGTGCAAACATCAGCAGGCTCAGCACTGAGCTCAACGTTTTTTCTTTTATTTCTTTTTTTTCATTTCTGCCAATTTCTTCGATTATTAGGCCACGCGTTTCTATTTCTTTGTTTCTCGTCACCCGAAAATCTAAAAAGTAAAAACGCATGCGAGAGGTGGAAAAAAATAAAAATTACCAAAAAATAAGAATAAAAGGTTTACTAGACCTTTGTTCACACTGAAATCCACCAATACACCATGCAAAATAGCATCCATAATTAGCAACTAGTATGTGGTAGGAGCTTCTGTCACGATCTGTGCATGTGCAGCGTAGATTGCGCACAAAAAATGCCGACCTCGCATCATGTGTCGCGCCGGCCAGGCCACATAATTATGTACATGTGCGTGAGTGTGCTGGTCCCCACATGCACAGTCGGTGCAGTACAGTTTTTTTCTCTTTTTTTCTTCCAGACTCCTGAATCGTATGTGCACGGGTGACGAGAAGCATTGAAATAAAAACGTGTGGCCTTACGATTACCGTACTCACTTGATTAGAAGCCCCTCTCGAATAAAAGCCCCTCTTGAATAATAGCCCCCCTACAAGGACTGTTTGAAAATATACAAGCCCCTCTCGAATAGAAGCCCGGACTACTATTCGCAAAGCATGGGGTGACCAGGTAGTGCCATGTATGAAGGTCAAGTCTGCAAAAAACATCTCGTGCATGTTCCTATTGGTACATATCCTGGTCGATGTAGTGTGTGCAAACTAACTCGGGGCCGAGTTGCTGTGAATATGAACGTTTTAGAGATTCGATTGGAATACCAGTATGGAATGAAACCATAAAAGCCCCTCTCGAATAGAAGCCCCTCTTGAATAGAAGCCTCCTCGAAATTGGTATTGAAAAAATAGTAGCCCCCGGCTTCTAATCGAGTGAGTACGGTATTCGTTCAACCCACGAATATTCTAAATTATTCGATTATTCGTTTTCAACACTGGTATTTTTACTTGTGTGTTGCTTCTGTTCATACGTGTGATTTCAGAGTGGCAAGCCTTCCGTATAACTGCGAGATGTTGCGAGCACCGCAGTCGTCATATGCCAAGAGTTTAGCCAGTATCATCACAAGCCTTTTCCAAAGGGTAAGGGGACGACGCTCTCTTGATCTATTTTTATTTGGTTTAGACAGCATCTCCTGGCACGTCAGCAGACGGCCAATTAACCAGTTGAGATCTCTCTCTCTCTCTCTCTCTCTCTCTCTCTCTCTCTCTCTCTCTCTCTCTCTCTCTCTCTCTCTTCTCTTCTCTCTTCTCTCTCTCTCTCTCTCTCTCTCTCTCTCTCTCTCTCTCTCTCTGTCTCTCTCTCTCTCTCTCTCTCTCTCTCTCTCTTATCCATGCAAGTGTGCTGTTGCTTGCCTACCTGCACCCATACTAGGCACTGCACACCTAATCATGTGTGCCATGCCTTCATATGCGCGGTCATGACGACGTTTGCGTGTGTGTGTGTGTGTGTTGTGTGTGCTCACCTCGCTTGCTACGCACGTTGCAGTACGACCAGGAGAGAGGCGCGCGGATTTTGCAAGCCATCGAGGGAGACTCACTCTCTCCTCTCTATATGTAAGTATGTATGTATGCAGAGTCTTCTGGCGAGCAGTTTGGTCTCGTGTACCGTATCTGAAAATTGCATTGAAGCTGCTGCTTGCGAAATTGCCATCGGGAATACGATTCGTTTGATCTCGTGCACCACGCTCGGAATTCGGTTTAATTTACTTCAAAGTATTTCCATACGTAAATTCGCTGCCGCTAAATTCATACGTAAATTAACTGAATTCGAACGAGAAAAATGGTGGGGCGCAAATTATGCATTTGAGTCCACCAATTTAACCAGATTTTGGACAGTCAGACATGCACAAGGTAGCACCAGACTGACAAGGAGTACTGGGACATTCCACGGCAAGGACGTGAGCTTGAGCACTGTTCAGCGCTAACCAACAGTGCTCAAGCTCACGTCCTTGCCGTGGAATGTCCCAGTACTCCTTGTCAGTCTGGTGCTACCT